TCCAACATAACACGAATTACTTCTCTACAGTAGAGTTTGTTGGCATGGTTATGCCTCCATCCCCAGCTGGGACTTGCCACCTTTCTGAGCAACACGAGTTATTCTGGAGAAGTACAAAAAATGCCGGTAAACCATGCACACATGATGGGTTTAGGACCATAACTGATTTGGCTACAAGGGAGGTTTTTCACAGTCCTAACCAACTCTGCTATTTTGTCACTTGGTGGTGTATTCATGGTTGCACCATCACCCAACCTCTCACATGTTTCATGAATCTGAGTAAATACACCAAGATATACCAACCAACCAACAAACACAAGATGCAATGGCATCAATAGCCATCTTGCATTAGCTACATCCATGTAAGAACAGAATCCATTCAGTAAAAAAAAGAGTCCTAGAGCACAAATAAAATAACATTTAGCATTATAGTTTATTTAAAAATCTTTACAGATGAATCAACAGTAGAAGAGGGCAAAGGTAAGCTGTGGCCCTCTTAATTCTTAAGCTAATTGGAAAACAATAACAGTTCATTCGCTGACACCTCCAGAAATGCTTGAGAAGGTCGAGATGAACCTTCCCAGAGTGTCTAGTTTAGCATTTCTGAAGGTGGAACTAATTGATTTCCAGTTAAATATCACTAACTAGAGCCTTTGCAGTTGCTAATCATTGCATTCTACACATGCTTAGTGCAACACTTCTGAAGACATTTTGAGAGATGTAAATTAGTGAGAGTTAATTGAAAACCAAGGTTTAAATTTCCACTTTCCCTACAAACCAGGAGCTCCAACAACTCGGTAACTTGACTGTGACACACTGGTCTTTGCTTAACCAGGATGCTACATGATCTTCAGCAATCTGTTGATTAATCACAGAAGAATAATTTTTACTTCTTGTCATTTTTCCATTATACCTGGATGTTCACAACCAATAACACTGTCTAGATCTTTGACAGCATATCCAGAAATCCATAGGTAATTTCATAGTTACTTGAGAGTCAGTAACTCTTTAGCTTATTCAAGTAGTCTATCAGTAATGAATGGAGGAGAGACACACCTCACCTTATCACTGATATATTTCCCTAAAAATTGACATTTCCTCACTGCATTGACAATTATGCACATAGGTCTTTATAGAGCTGTACATGACTACCTGCTATTGAATGTGGCTGATGATAGGAATGGAGTGAGTGACTGATGAGAGAGAAAAGTTTTTAGCACATTGTCAAAAACAATAAGGTGATTTACATAAGAATATCTATTATTTAAAGATATTAACAAATTCTACATGCCTGTTCTGCACTTCAATAATTTAATGGTAGTTATCATTATTACTTTGACATCTTGAATCACCAGAAATATTTTGGTTAAAAGCTTGGGTAAAATAGTGCATTTTTATATTTACTGAAAGAGACACGTTATATAGGTGATGGACTTCTTATCAGCTCAGACCCTGAATTTTATATAGAAAGGACAGCTAGCCAAATTGCAGGGATGACCGAGATATAAATACTATAGAAATAACAGATTTAATGTACTTTACTTGAAATCGGGTCCTTTTCTTCCCTTTTCTGTTTTCAAATGTTTCTTTTATACAAAACGCTATGGTCCAGTGCACTTGAAAATTAAAGACTACCATGTAAGATCAAGGTTTGAGCCTGTCCATTCATGAAGGGAAATTAAAATCACCACTAAAAGTCCCACTTTTTATTATACTGATAGAAACCACTCAGAAAATACCAGAAGGAAGAAATATGCACTGTATTTAATATACTGTTTTGTCCTTTCATATTTTGTTAATATATAAAAACATGTATATATGCACAGTTAGACATTAGTGGCTAGATTTTGATGTTATTCACTCTGTCCTAACTGCTGGACTGCAAAATCAGGCAGGTTAAATATCCAGGCACAAACAGTAATGCCATGCAATACAAGGAATTAGTAAGAATGAAATGATTACGAGGCTAGTTAAATGATAAGTAACATTAATGTGATCATAATATTAACAATATGTATACTAAATACATTGAAAAATGTTTTCCTTTTTCAATCTGGAAAATTCTGACAATCACTGAAGGGTGGTACCAGTGAATTACACTTGTCATGACCACAAGAAATAGCTTCCCAGCTACTTTCTAAAACTTTACTCATGTTCCTCTTCTGTAACCTACTTTATGTTGATTTATTCAGGCTACCTTAAACACATAAAAACTTAGTCTGAGCTTCTTATAATATTTTATAATAACACATTTAATAAAGTTACTTTAAATCCGCTAATTTATAGAGATTTGCCAGAGGCTTTGAAACTTCAGAAAATGTGTAAACTTAACAGTTTGGCTGTGATAGCAGCTCAGACAGTGGAAATTAAGCCCTTTGCATTACAATCATGTTCAAAGTGGATTCCTAGTTTTACTGCAAAAAAAAAGTATTTTAAAAATATAGAAGAAAACCAAATTTACAAGAGATATTTCAGATCTAAGACATATATTCACTCAAGTTTGTCTTTTCAGATCCACGTGCCATAGTTCTTGAATTTGTTCTCTACTCTGACTCAACATTACAGCCTCAAACATATGTGAAGTCTTTAATTTTAAGACTACCTGGATTCTATTTTTCACAAACAAGTTTTTGACAAAAAAGAGCAGGGTCTCTCATGCAATAGACCTCTGACAAAACTTTGAGATTAGTGTGCTTAGGGCCATTAATTCTGGGTCCCTAATTCTAGTTGTCAGTTTTCCAGCTGATGCTACATAGGTTATCTACTGTCTGCTTTAATTTCTGCCTCTGGAAACCAAAGGACAATAGATTATATGCCATTGTGAGAATAGGCAAATTGGTTAGGATCCAAGCTGTATCCCAGGTGATAGCAAGAAGAAGCAGTGCAAAAAAATATTCAGCTCTTCACAGTGATGTATCAAAGAGTTTCATCTCCACTAGAGGAATTCTTCACTTTATACATAGCATTTAGATGGTAACTAAGTGATCATTATCATCATCAGATTTGCAGAAAATGTCAGCTTTCCTTGAAGATATAGTTGAAATTTTTAGGTTTACTGTTGCAGATCTCTCCGCAAATTCTTATATGGGAGAAGGCATTAAGACCTGCTCCATGAAGATTCATAGGGTTGTAGTCTTTTAAGGGATACGACCTTATCGTTTTGAAGCTTTTTTCAGTATCTATAAAGTTCAAGTCATCTTTTTAAACTTTTTTCTGGCTAATTGAATCAAAATATTCAGAAATGCAATCTGGAATATATTCTTGGACAAGGTTTTTTCAGTCTCTTCTGCTTCAATGCTCTTTCTCTTGGTTCTGTTGTTGCTTTCTCTCCTGCTTTTGTGTACTGAGAAACAGAATTAAGGTGTACTGCAACCAGTGGACACTTGCATAAACAGCCTGCTTTGAATAAAACAGCATAATCTTGGGAAAGGAAATCCACATTCAGCTTTCCTGACTGAATGCTAAAACATATAAGAGGTTCATATACTATTAAAGCATCACATTTTTCCTTTGAGACCACTGAAATACAAGGGCTGTGAATAGAAGAAAAAAGTAGATAAACTGAATTGGGAGCATAAAGGCACATTGATTCCTAGGTTTTGAAACCACAGTCAAAGTGTTCTATATTCGTAATTTATTTAAGACTTTTTTCGTCAGATACATTTGTAAGGAATCTCCTTCACAGATTTTTATGCACGAGAGCTTAAGTTTTCCATGACTTCTGTAAAACAACTTTTACTGCACCAAATTACTGCATTCCTTGATCTCTACCAGCATACACGCACAGCAGCCAGCCACATTCAAACACAACCAACGGCTCTAGGATTTTGCAGCTCTGCAACAGATACTTCAAAAAGAAGGAGCTTTTTTTCAAATTAATACGGTTGTGAAAAAGAAATCAAATGTAACAGTTTTGCCCTGCCTCCAGCATTTCACAACTGATGTTGACTTAAAATTAGCACAATCTTCTGCAATACTTGTATCCATGTGAAACTTCTTCATAGAGAATTCATGCAGAATTGTGAGCTGTCAGCTCTGATCGCATTCACCAGCACACAGGCTTTAGACTCTATTTCATAATAGGAAAATATGGCCAGCGTTTTCCTGACAGAAGTACCGTATATTTTTCAGTCAGTAAAAATTACAGAGAGAGCTCATTGTTGATGCATTTCCCATAGATAATGAGGACTGCAAATTATCAGGCAAGGATTTTTTTGGTGGACGGAACAAAAACCAGCACAATCTGCAGAACTTATTAACTAATTGTGATTAAAACCCCTTCTTTGCATGCTGTTGACGTGGTCAGAGTAACATATACACTGATCTTATTCCAAAAGCACAGTTATCCTTATGCTGCAAGAATTATAGTTTTGTGTGCCGTAGCGTACACTGCAAAAAAAAAAAAAAAAAAAAGGCAAAAAAAAAAAAAAAGCCTTTAGGAAAGGCATGTGCTGAACATACACAAAATATGCAGGATGGAAAAAGACCAAATGTAATTAAAGCTTATACGAAACCAGACATTCCTATTTGCAGAGCTCTGGCTGCATTTCTATGAGAAAGAATGTACAGAATTTAAAATCATGCTCTATTTAGACAATGTCAGAAGAAAAACACATTCCCCCCACCACTCCCCCACCCCAAGACTCCAAAAGGCAAATCTCATCATCAGAATTAGAGAGAAAAAGCAATCCAAAGATACTGGTTTACGTATTCCTTCCCAAACCAAGAAATCAAGTATCTCCCTCTCCCGGCTAATAGTTTATAAATTCAGACTTTAAACAAAAGCAAAAAAAAAGCATCCTAATTCTCAAGCTTCCTACTTAGCACTGCCTCGCTCTTGATGATTTGTGCGGCTGTGTGTGCGTGCCCGTTTGAGAAATGGCGAGATAGGCTTAAAGTATTTTCCATTTCATCAAAGAGCATATATTACTTTCCTGGTTCGCTCAAATGTTGGTTTTATGCCCACCCCTTTTCAATCTGCCCATGGCTGAGATGCACAGTGCAGGCGTACAATCCTGAGCAGCTTACGACACTCAGTGAACACTGGGTGCCTCTGCATGCTCTAGCAACACACTGCTCAGCTGAAGGGAAGGGATTCTTGCTGTCTCTCTCTGCTCTAAGCATCACCTAACAAGCAAAGCGAACAAAGAATGGGAAATAAAGCTACCCTTAGCCGGTCAGTGAATGAATGGTAATCTCTCTATGGAGTAAAGGTTGTGCCGGTCAATGGTCGTTGCAAATGATGGACATTAAACAGATTGACAAATCCTGTGGAGTCGTTAGTAAAGAGTTTGGAGTTTTTTTCACGCCACAGTGTTAACTGCAGAGAAAAGGACAGAGGGAGAAGGAGAAGATCAAGCTCATGTACATAGTTCTGAAACTTGCAGGTCCTAGGAGTCAGCTAAAAAGCTAGCTGGACAAGCCTTTCGCTCTTTGAGCAGAAGCGAAGTGAGACATTGTGAGCTTGCCAGCCTTGCACAAAATTGAAAGGGACTGAATTTGTAGCACAGAGGGGTCTTTTTTAGCTCTGCATATAATTAGTCCAAACACAAAGGAAGCAACTGAATGGAGGTTGTCACTCTCTGGAAAAGGGTGGGTAAGACACTTTTTAATTAAATTCTTTCATGAAGAAAGATTTTTTTTTTTCTTTGCTGCAGCATTTAACATGAACAAAATCACTATCATTTTACCTTTGAATGTCTGTGAACTTTAATGCTGTACAGCTCCTGCATGCTGTAAAGTGAAATATTTGCCTCTGTGTTTGCTCTGTTTGCTGTTTTGCTTTGGTTTTCTGGCTTTGTTTTGGGTTTTCCTGTTGGTTTTTTTTTTTTTTTTTTTTTTTTACCCTTAAATAAAATATGATGTAGAATTTGAAAAGATTCAATGGACATTCTCAAGCATATTTGGAAATATTCTTGCTAATGGATTTCCTTCTTATTGGTCTCTGTTTAAACTGGCTGCTGAGGAAGCCCCCAGGGTTGATATTGTGTACGCTGGGTATCTTTTCTAAAATGCTTCCAGCCGTGAATAGTGGGTGTCCACAGCTATGTCGGTGTGAGGGCAGGCTTTTGTACTGTGAATCACTGAATCTTACAGAGATGCCTCGCAACCTGTCGGGCATGATGGGCTTGTCTCTGCGGTACAACAGCCTTTCAGAGCTGCATGATGGACAGTTCACAGGGTTAATGCAGCTCACGTGGCTCTATCTGGATCACAATCACATTTGCTCAGTGGAGGGGAATGCCTTTCAAAAATTGCGGCGAGTTAAAGAGCTCACCCTGAGTTCCAACAAAATAACCCAACTGCCCAACAACACTTTCCGACCCATGCCAAACTTGCGCAGTGTGGATTTATCATACAACAACCTACAGTCTTTGGAGCCTGACCTGTTTCACGGGCTGAGAAAACTAACAACTTTGCACATGCGGTCGAACGCCATCAAGTTCGTGCCAGTGAGAATTTTTCAGGACTGTCGCAGCCTGAAGTTTCTAGACATAGGATACAATCAGTTAAAGAGCCTGGCTCGAAACTCTTTTGCAGGCTTGTTCAAACTCACTGAGCTGCACCTCGAGCACAATGACTTGGTGAAAGTGAATTTAGCCCATTTTCCCAGGCTCATCTCCTTGCACTCTCTCTGCTTGCGAAGGAATAAAGTTACCATCGTAGTGAACACTTTGGACTGGATATGGCAACTTGAAAAAATGGATCTCTCCGGCAACGAAATTGAATACATTGAACCTCATGTTTTCGAAAGCGTACCTCACCTCAAATCCCTGCAGCTGGACTCCAACCGGCTAACCTACATCGACTCCCGAGTCCTCGACTCCTGGAAGTCCCTCACTAGCATCAGCCTTTCTGCAAACGCCTGGGATTGCAGCCGTAATGTTTGCGCCCTGGCCTCCTGGCTGAGCAACTTCAAGGGTCGCTACGACAGCAACCTGCTCTGTGCCACCCCTGAGTACGCGCAGGGTGAGGATGTTTTGGATGCGGTGTACGCTTTTCACTTGTGTGAAGACGCGGCAGACCCAACAAGTGTTAACACCCTCTCCCCGGTAACTAACAACAGCGACCAAACGTTCAGCTACGGCTCTGCCACCGCCACGTACGACGTGCAGGACAGCGACGGGGACAGAACGACATACGCCATAACCGTGACCATGCCCGGCGAGAACTCGGAGAACGCCGTTCAGATTCACAAGGTGGTGACGGGGACCATGGCACTGATTTTTTCCTTCCTCATCGTGGTTTTAGTGTTGTATGTCTCCTGGAAGTGCTTTCCAGCCAGCTTAAGGCAACTAAGACAGTGCTTTGTGACACAGCGCAGAAAGCAGAAGCAAAAACAGACCATGCATCAAATGGCTGCCATGTCAGCCCAGGAGTATTACGTTGATTACAAACCCAACCACATTGAGGGAGCCCTGGTGATCATTAATGAGTACGGATCTTGTTCCTGTCACCAGCAGCCAGCGAGGGAATGCGAGGTGTGATTTTCCTTGGGGATTTAAACAGTGTGCAACCAAATAACAGCGTGCAGGCAGACAGTGGCACGGGGGGGGGGGGGGGGGGGTTGCTGTGCTTTGCTGGTGGTTTCTGACGTGCTCCTCTGCCGAAATTGTTAAGAGGGGCTGTCTAAAAGACTTGATATTTTAGCTTTATTGTGTCTTAAAAACCTTCAGGACAGTCAATCTTAAGATTTCATATGCTAATACTCCCTTTGAAGATCTGTCAATATTCAGGAATCTGAGAGTGTAAAAAGGTACCAATTATTGATCTTTTGTAAACTAAGAAAACTGTTTAAAATAAAAAAAAATAGCATTTACAGTTTTTACAGACTGGTGTATATTACATGAATTGTTCCCTGTATACAAAATGCAACAGTTTAACCTCTTTTTCTCATCATACTGAGTGTTGAAATGAAAGCCTAGGAGCAAAGAAGCCACGTAAAATAGAAAACTTAAAAGTTACCAGATGGCTTCACATTGTAATTAGTACACATTCACTCACATCATGTTACTGAAGATACGAAGCATGACACTGGAATTATATTTTTGTTAATGTGCTACCTGCAACTGAATGTCAGTACAAGGAGCCACTGCACCTCAGAAAGGCTAAAGTTTTGACCGTGTCCATGGGACAGGATTTCTGAGGATTTTTAGTACAGCTCACTTGATAGTTGCTGTAAGATCCCTAAAAACTGCATCATAACCCCTAAAAGTATTTTGTATCATACTGCAAAATCTCACTAAAAGAACCTAACAAACAGCAAAACTCAAACTGAAACACTGCCAAAATGTGCTCAGCATAATTTTCTTTACAATACAAAAGACAAGAAAAATATTTAAATTTATGGGCTTTTACTAGCATTTCCCACTTTTATGCTTGTTTTGAGATATGCTAAGAGCAAAGAAATCCTTGCTTTGTGCACTGTGGTGCCATGGTGAATGGAGAAGAGCAAAAGCTATTCGGTTCTCAGTGCTGAAACCTGTGTGTCTTTCAAGAGTAAAACCTTGACTGTAACACTGTCAGAGCAAGACAGAGAGTTATTAGAGCATACTTCTGGGTCCTGTAGTAAACTGCTAACAAAGCCTATCCCGTGCCCCTCACTTTCACCACAAACCATCACTAACAAAACAGCTCTAAAATCCCTGAAGAGGCAGAAAGTATATGAACCCTCCTTACTAATGACTGATAAATGGAATTGATGGATATGAGCAGTGATTTCCTAATGTAGAATCACACAGCTGGTTTATTTGACTGCCCTCAAATAAAGGCTTCCTTTCCTTATATTTTGGATTTTTCATTCCAGTATGTGAACAACCTACTGATTGATCTTTTCAACAACTCCTCTCATACTAATGAAGATGAAGTAGTTTTATAACATCAGGCATCCTGAAATGTTCTTCATACAGCATTACATGCTAATGAAATGTTATGGATAATGTATTGGGCAACATTTCTATGCTTTGTACATAATTCTCTATCCTTAGGTTATCACCAATAGAGGAAAAATTGAGAAATCTAACATACATTTTAATTTAGCACAGATTTTTTCTTTTTTATAGCACTGAAGTGCCACCTACTCTTGAAAGGCTACAGCAGAATTATAAAGCAGAAAATAGGCACAGAATAAACCATCTTTTTAAAAACCATTTTCCTGCACAACAGGTTTTAGCCATTAATTTTGAATGAAAAGATTGAATTTTATGGTTTTGTTTTTTTTTTTTTTTTTTCTGACACTATTTTTAAGGAGTCAGAACTTATTTTCCTCTATTTGGTATATCTCATCCTGTTTAATATTAAATATGACCACAGCCTCTTAATCAAAATTTTTATCTAGTGAGACTATAATGTCATCTGTGAAAGCAATAAGATTATGTATTGGGAGAGCACTTTGTCGTAGAAAATTTAATGAAAATCAACTGCTTTTTTACTAAAGCCACTGCAAATCCACCCACAGCTTTGAAACAAGCTAGCACTGTTAAAACTAGGCTTTGCTCCTTTTAAACAAATGCACATTTCTGTTTCTGTGCCTCAAACCCACAATGGCCTGATCTATCCTGAAACTCCCAAGTGACCTGAGGGGTTGAATGTCCATGTACAAACCTAACTGTGAGAGCAGAGAGTAGGTACAGAACCCCTTGTCTCTTTGGGTGCCTGATCATATTTTAAGAGAAAATATTTTATGCCATGCTAACTGAGGGCCAACTTATATGTATTTTCCCCATTAAAACCTTCTTTGAAATTAATAGGGAATTTAACTGTGAAAAATTGTCTTTCTAACTTTGGACTATGTTATACATTCCTCAAATCAACATGAAGCACTGCAGCCAGAAGAACTGATTACAGCTAGTTGCCAGGAAGCTTCCAAAACCAAGCAAGCTTGTTAAAATATTGTCCTCATATTGTACAAAAAAAATAAATATATGAATTAGCTTCATTTCTATAGTAACCCTCTGTTGCTATAAGGAAACATATTAGTGCCGTCATGGTTTTGCCCCTGTAAATCTGATGCAACACTGATACCGACAAACATCCTGTGGTTGTATTTCTATGTATTTTTAGCATATTTGTGGGTTGTATTTTAAACACACTAGTGATTGCACCCCTCTGGAATTATTCCTGCTGTTTATTGGTGTTAGCAACCTCAATCTACATTTGCAAAGATGTGAGCAATTCCGCCTTTGGAATTTATTCACCTCTGTGTTTCATGCATCTTACATTGACAGATCCAGTAAACTGAACAGAACCTTCTTCTTTAAAGGTGCAGTGATTTCCTAAGTGAAAGTTGATTTTGGTATTGCCTGTTGCCATTTATTCTGAAGAGAGGTAGTGACCAGCAGTGATTTGCCACCCTTAGCAGGATGATGGATGGATCCTCCATATAGAGCTTAGCACTTAATAAACTTCAGAACATATTTCAAAATCTCCATGCAGAAATCTTTTCTAAGGGTAATATCTTCTAGAGACAACCTCTTAATGATCTCCAGAAGATATCTGGATATCTCAACACCCTCTGAATATCTACTTATGGAAAGAGGGGTGTCATTGCTATTGCATGGCAGGAAGGTACTCCACAGTGTGCCCACATCTAGTCTAAAGGTTTACATGAAAAATACGTGGATAATAAAGAAATAAAAGATCAAGTATTTAATTTCAATCCAGCTATTGAAAATCCAGTTATTCATCCTGCTCCAGGCTGTTTGCACTGGTACATATGAAAGTTATTATATTTGTGCTGCATTTATAGCAACTGCAGGGACAAATTTTCTCTAACTCTTTCCCCCAAATTTCATGTTCACCAACTGTCCAGAGATATGTCATTCCCTCTCTTTTGATGCCCTCATTCTGGCTTATGAAATGGCTCCAAAATCAAAAGGAAGAAGAAGAAAAAGATGCTTTTGGGTTTAGTAGTGATACTTTTTTGTTCAGGAGTTGCTTGGGGAATATTAAAGGAAGGAAAATATTTTAAATATTCCCCTTTTAATGTTCCATTTAATAGGATTAATATCCCTTTTATAATTAGGTAATTAACATTATTTTTGTTATATTTAAGTGTCTTTTAACATACAAGACAGGGTGAAAGGCAAGCAAAAGAATACCTTTTTTGAGGATGGTTAACACTACCAGTGTTACAGATCTCTAATATGCAATCTCTTGCTGCTAACATCAATACACACTTACAGTGCACCCAGTGATGAAGGAACTGTTGCTGTGTATGCTTTGAATGTATATAAGGGATGATTTATTTTCATTTCTGTCTTTTTTCCTTCCTTTCTGTACTACTTTAAAAAAAAAAAAAAAAACAAAACAAAACAAACAAAAAAAAAAAAAAAAACAAAAAAACCCAAACTGATATGAAACCACAGAATCAATGTTAATGTACCACATTCTGTTTCTGGCCTGAATATATAAAGTACAAAGAAATTCTGTCTTAAAGCTGCAAATTCCCTCCTTTACCACACTGTTCGAGTACTGCAGGGGGTTAAACCAAGGGGGTGACCTATTCCTCTGTGTGCACAGCAATAACTTGACACTGTACCAGTCTGACGATGCAGTCCCATGCCTGGTTCATAACTGCCTTGCATGCGTGTGCCAGAGACTGAGCATTAATGATACCTAAGGATATTTTTGTATGCTTTAATATATTCTGTATGGTTTTATGGCTAAAGGCATTGAGGAGCCCTTAAAATGAACCTGTTTGTTAATTTTATTTGGTTCTGATGAAAAGCCCTTCATTTGCTTTTGAAATGGACTAAATTTGTTTCTTGTGTCTCATTTTGCATTAATAGCAAAAGGACACTCTGAATACCCCTTTCCTTCCCCCCAGCTTCTCCAATGGTATTCTGAATGGCAAATAAGGAGGAGTATTTAATTAGGAAGATTATTTCTAGTGCTATAATAATAACAGTAATAATAATAAAAAAAAATAAGAGGAGACAAAAGACGAGAGAGAAGACTGGAGTAACGACAACTAAATCAGGTTGCTTCTGGATTCCTTTGCCTTTTCTTTTTTGAAGATGGTAAATCTAAAAGACTAGCACAGATGAAAAGCAAGACTGAAGGTGGGTGGAGAAAGCAGTTTTAAAAACTGTGCAAGCAGGGATGAAACAGCTTCTGGAAAGGAGGGTTCAACACTAAATAGCTTTACTGAGCAAGAAAGAGAAAAGGAAAGGATGAGGGGACAGGATGAAAGGGAAGACAAGAACCGGTGGGAAGGCAAGGTGACCACTGTGCACACATGGAAAATGAGATTTTGCAGTGCTGTCACCTCCCACATTAAGGCTGTGGCAAGGACAACAGCAGAGATTTAAGAAAGATACCCAGCATCTCCCTTTTTCTCTCCCAACCTTTACAAACTCTCAGTCACACACTCTCATTTCCAGAGGTGCACGTGGACAGGCATTCCCAAACGTGTGCGCATGCAACCCTGTCATTTCCTCTGCCATCTCCTTCTTCCCTAGGAGCACAATGTCCCCCTCATCCATCATTTTGTTCACTGAACTCCGGCACCATCCCTTTTCCACTAATTTTTTTTTGCTGGACTCCTTAGCTAACCTAGTCACAGTTCACCACAGACTTTCTAGAAAATTAGGCTTCTCTACCCAAAATATCTTGGGTTTACCCCTATCCCTTAAGAAACCCTCATTTAGAGAGAGGGGTGATTTTGAGCTATAGCAGATTCTCCTTATAATTATATCCACACTCATCCTCCCTCATATTCAGCTTTCATATTCACAACTATTATGACAAACAGATCTGAGATATTTTTGCTGTGTTCTATTTATCATTATGCATTAAGGTTATAGTTTTCCTTGACCTGCTCAACCCAGTCTAATATTAACAAATTGAGCATTTATATGGGTTCCTTTCCAAGCATGAAGTTGATTAGGAATTGAAGAAATGCTGGTGATTTAAAGATTAACCTTTCATATAATTACTGACATAAACCAGAGCTATTAAGGTATTAGAAACAACTATTCAGAGTATACTCTATGTAAAAAAATACCACATCTAGATCCATGCGAAAGACTTTCCATACCAGCCAATTTTTTTTTTATATTTTTTTTTTTTAACAGAAGAAAAATCTGGTGAAAGGAAAGGAGTAAGCGCAGTCTACCTCTAAAGTTATGTAGAGGAAAGCAAAGCTACAAAAATATTACAGAAACCAAGCAACAATCTTCTGCTGGCAAGACACAGCCTGTAATTGGGTGGGTGGCTGTGAAGATCTGAGATGAATGCTGCAGAGCACTGTAATTTTATTGCAGCTTGCCTGCTTTAAAGTGAACATATTTGCAATGAAATCTGTATTTCCGTGAGAACAGGGAAACTGTTTTTGTTATAATGATAACGTCACTTGTTGGCATTCAAACACAATTATTCAACCTTTAAAGCAATTACTGTTCTTATTTGCCTTTGCTGGTGTGATAGTTGGGTGAGACAGTCAAATGCAACCGGCTGCATTGAATGGAGTTTGAGTTCAAAGTATGCAGATTTACATTACAAGAGAAGAAATTCAGTTTAAAATAAACACCAGCTTTTTGCCTTTCTTCCATTTCTCCTCTTCCTCCAAAATCCAAATATGTACATCACTTATAGAAATTAGAGAGAATTGGCAGTGGCTAAAGGATAATATTATGTCCGCCTGTGCTTGGCAAACAGCACCTACTATTCTGCTAAGGCACTTTTTATTTCAAACCATTTTGCTGCTCTCATGTTCTTCACATCCTCACCAGACACAGTAACTACAGCCAGAAATATGTCTTTCAACACGGGTGCTATGGGAA